CATTAACCCTTTGGGCGCCCAGCTCCCTCGCATAATGAAGTCCGGCCAGAACAGCCTCGTACTCAGCCGCATTGTTCGTTTTGAGGGTCGCAAAACGAAGCACGATTTCATGAAGGGCGCCTAAAGGGCTAACGAGCACCATGCCGGCCCCGGCGCCTGCCCGACTTGCTGCTCCATCCACATGTACTTGCCAGCATTCCTCAATGCCCGGCCCTCCGTCGGCCACACCTTCGGCCATGAAGTCTGCCAACACTTGAGCTTTAACAGCTGGACGGGGCGCGTAACTTATATCGAACTCACTTAACTGCACGGCCCACTTCACCAGGCGCCCAGACACATCCATTGATCCAAGAACCGTCCTTAGTGGCAGGTTGGTGAGCACCACGATGCTATGAGCCTGAAAATAAGGTCTGAGCTTGTTCGCGGCCATTACTACCGCCAAAGCCGCCTTCTCTATGGGTGCATATCGCGTCTCATGGCCAACCATGGTGCGGCTGACGTAATACACCGGTCGCTCTTCGTTCGTTAGCGAGTCTTTGGATATCAGTACAACGCTCACAGCGATGTGGGACACCGCTATGTACAAGTATAGCACTTCCTTGGCTCTAGGCGCGGTCATTACCGTAGGCGCTATGAGTAGCCCCTTCAATTCTTCAAACGCCTTGTTGCATTCTTCTGTCCATCGAAACTTGGTGGCCTTTTTCAATACCTTGAAGAAGGGGGCGCCCCGGTCCGAGGCTCGCGGAATGAACCGTCCCAACGCCGCCAGCCTTCCCGTTAACACTTGCACTTCTTTCGGCGTTCTCGGGGGCGCCAAGTTCTTGATGGCCTCCACCTGCCTGGGATTGGCCTCAATCCCCCTTTTGGTTATCATGAAACCCAAGAACTTTCCCGCCTCCGCAAAGAATACACACTTTTTGGGGTTAAGCCTCAAATTGAATCGGCGCATTGTCTCGAAAGTTTCCCGGAGGTCCAGGATATGATCCAGGCGCCTCTTACTCTTCACTATCAAATCATCCACATATGCTTCCACGTTTCTCCCTATCTGCTCGCGGAAGACTTGGTTTACCATACGTTGGTAAGTGGCGCCTGCATTCTTTAAACCAAATGCCATGACACGATAGCAAAAGTTGCCAAAAGGTGTCATGAAGGCCGTTTTCGCCCGGTCCTCCTCCACCATAGGGATCTGATGATAGCCTGAAAACATGTCCAAGAAGCTGAGCGCTTCGTGATACGCCGTCGCATCTACCAGCAAGTCGATGCGTGGCATGGGGTAGGCATCCGTCGGGCACGCCCGGTTGAGGTTAGTAAAGTCGACGCACATCCTCCAATCTCCCGACGGCTTTGGGACGAACACTACATTGGAGAGCCACGTAATGTACCTTGCCTCCTCCACAAACCCCGCTTCTCGCAACCTATCAACTTCATGCCGGAGCGCCTCTTCTTTCTCGGGGGTCAAGTTTCGTCGCTTTTGTTGCACCGGCCTTTTACCTTCTTCCACTGCCAGCCTATGTGCCGCAACTTCGGGGGACACTCCGGGCATATCCCGAGCGCTCCATGCAAACAATTCACCGAATTCTCGCAGTAACTCAATTAAGGGCGCTCGCATAGCCTCTGGCGCCTGTGATGATATTCGTATTATCTGGTCTGGGCGCCCCTCGTCCAATATCATAGCCATCTCATCATCTACTGGCTCTGCCCTGGGCGCCTCCTCCGGACGGATGTCTACGATATTCAGTCTATGCTTCCGACCTCGATTCTTTGAGTCCTCTTCTCTTGCATATCGCGGGACATTCCTTCCACGCGAGACACCTACGCCTTGAGGAGCGACGAACTTCAGTGTCTGATGGCACGTCGAGGCCACCCCATTGAATTGCTCCAAAAGAGGGACAGTCAACGATGCCAAACTCCACCGCATGTGTTACGCAATGCGCTTCGTCCCCCAGAGTGACAGGGAGGCGTACGCGCCCGATGACTTGAGCAGGTGCCCCCGAGAATCCGACCAACACCGAATTTGAGGGACGCACCAACTCAGGTGCCAGTTGCATTCGTTCGAAGGTGCTCTTGAAGAGGACATCCATAGAGCTGCCTGTGTCTACCAACATTCTCTTCACTTTACATCCGGCTATCACCCCTTGTATCTCAAGAGCCTCCTCCGACGGGACTTGGCACGCCTCATCCGGTTCCTGATTAAAGTGGATGTGCACGGCTTCCCTGGCTTCAAGCGACGCAGCTCGCAGGCGCCTAGATCTCTCCAACTTCTCTCTCAAGTCAAGGGTACCCGTTATGGACTCGACTGTAAGCCTTACACGGCTAGGTTCTCCTTCTTGATCTACCTCAAACGGAGGTGGCGGAATAATAGGCGCCGGCTCAGTTCCTGGTTCTTTGGGCGCTTCTCTGAGCGTGGGCGGCACCGCGGTTTGGGCTCTTGGTTCTTCAGGCGCCCTCCTCTGTTCCGGCACCTGCCTCGTCACATAGGTTCGATGCGTCCTGTCTTCCATTCTTCTGACGAAGTCGTTGAGCATGCCCTTGTCAGCTAAAGTTTGTAGTTCGGACTTCAGTTGGTAACAATCGGCCGTGTGATGCCCCTTGTCGCGATGGAAGTCACAATATCTGTCCAGATTTTTTTCGTTAGGCTGGCCGCGCATGGGCCCCGGCCACCTTATATTGTAGCCCCTATCCTTCACATACTGTAGCACATTCTTGAGGGTATCATTGTACTCTGTAAAATTTGCAGCACTCCTCGGCACAAGGCGTGGCGCCTCTGGTCTCCTTGGTGGGACGAAATTTCCGGGACCAGGTCTGGGCGCCTGCCTCACCTCGCCTTCATCACCTCTCAGGCGCCTCTTTTCAGCCCTTCGCGCCGCCAAAGTTTCTTCCAACATAATCACCTTTTGTACTCTCCGGTCAAGGTCTTCGGTGGATACTAGATCTCGCTTGGACAGGACCCGGCATAGCTCTTCGCTTGAGGTGCAGGCATCCAAGCAGACCCCTAACACTGCTGGTTGCACATCTTTGACCGCCATGGCCACCGAGATCCACCGATCATAAAACTCTCTGAGCGCCTCACCTTCCCTCTGTTTGACTTTAAACAACGCCCCTATGGTCAATGTCCGACGCTTTCGGCTTGCAAATTTGGACAAAAACAACTCAGCAAATTCTTCGAAACATTCTATGCGCCCCTCCTCAATTTGGTGGTACCAATCCAGGACCACGCCTGCGAATGTGGATGGAAACACCTTGCACAATGTGGCGTCGGAGCTGTTGTAGAGCTGCATCTTAGTAAAGTAGCTATTCAGGTGGTCTTCCGGGTCAGCCACCCCATCATAACTCGGCAACGGGGGGATCGTAGTTCCCGCTGGCTCCATTAGGATGCGCCGCGCCAGAGGCTGCCGAACACCAAACCTTCGAGCAATCCTCCTAGGCGCCCATACGTCCTCTGGGCCTGTTTGCGCGCGCTCGATATTTAGCCTCCCCTCTCGTGGGCGCCCAAACGCGTCATGCCCCTGCTCGGAGGCATACGGCGGTCCGTATTGCAGAGACTCCGAATCTTCCCCCGTTCTTTCCCGCTTTCTCGCCCCTGGGCTGTACATCATCACATCTTCACTTCGTTCCCCTTCCAACTCCCTCTTGAGCGCCGCTATGGCCCGATCTTGGTCGGCTATGATTCGAAACAACTCTCTTTTCGTCAAAGACTCGCCATCATCAGCAGACAGGCGCCTGGGGCTTCCTTGTCCCTCCCCATCCATGCTCCTCTCTTGACTCAGTTGACGCTCGCCTCCTTCATGATCCGAGTTCCCCGACCTGGAATTGCCTTCTCCATCGTTCCCTTCGTTCATGTTTTCCATGCGCCTACCGTTTTCGTGCGTCTTCTCCCCCTTCCTGGCTCGCCTCCTTCATGATCCGAGTTCCCCGACCTGGAATTGCCTTCTCCATCGTTCCCTTCGTTCATGTTTTCCATGCGCCTACCGTTTTCGTGCGTCTTCTCCCCCTTCCTGGCGCGCCAATTGTTTGTGCCTAGATACCACCGAACGCTTTTCCTCCACCTTTCCACTTTTCCGTCACCCGGGCGCCTAGAACCTGCACCCACAAGCGCCTAAGGGCCTCGATCGACCCGTTAGCACTCCGAAGCTCAAGTCAGTGCACTTTTCTAGAGAGATAAGTGTTTGGGAATAGTTTAGTGAGAGAAGCCAACCTCCGTAAATGCTATCGTCTGCCCCTATTTATACTCACCGAACCCGAGGTTGATCTCCGCCACGTCACCTCCTTCATTCAATGCTCTGCGCCCCCAGACAGCTAACCGCCCTGTCAGACTCCTGACACCTGACTGGCATTCCACAGCTCTGCCAGGCTCCTGACACACGACAGGCGCCCGCAGGCCGTGGTCCACCCTCCAGTTGGTCGCCACCTGGCTTTTGGTGCTCTGTGTGACAGCCAACCGCCCTGTCAGACTTCTGACACGAGACAGGCGCCCCGGGTCGTGGTCCACCAGCCAATTGGCCGCCACCTGGCTCTTGGTATCTTACTCTTTTGGGCTTTGTCCCCTAGCTCACTGGGTAATACCCCCAACAAAATCTATAGAGTGTAAAAAGCTATAATGACCTGTTGCCACATTTAGACCTACATAAATATCATTTTGATCACTTTTTTCCCCTGCAAATCGTTTGAGCTTTCATCTCTCAAAACCCACCAGCTCAAGTGTAGTAGAAGGGGCAAGCTCCTTCAGTTTACCAGTATTCATGATATCATACAAAGAACTAGGCAGCAAGAAACACATAGACTAGGCAGCAAAGTAATAGCTTCACGTTCATTACATCAATAAACCATTCTTTTTGAAACAAAAAATATGTTCCTTATTATACCAAAAAACCATAAGCACAATCTGGAATTAAAAAAAGTCTTCCCAAGTAAATTACATGTGTAATGTTGACCTTTTGCCCACTTCATCTGGCATAAACTAAAATAAATATACAAGTCTTGGTATTATATTTAGTTGTTACCTGTTTGTTTGCTGATGCCCCATGGCAGTACTGGATCTTTCCTTATTGCTGACACCGGCTCCCTACATGAAAGGAAAATTAAGATGAATAGTAGACTCAAAACCAAAAGGAAATTTAACACTAAGTCGGTTGATCTGAGATTAATAGCAGCAGGAAGGAAGACATGATGAGACGAGGAAGATGCAGATACTAGCAATATATGGCTTTACTTGGTCCCATTTGTCAAAGGTCCTTGGTTTGAATTTGATTCAAGATTCATATTTAGTAGATTATAGGTTGCACCCATTTGTCTAGCCAGGTATCTAACAAAGCTTATTCTTATGATACACAGAGCACACAGACATTTATAAACAGAAATCTCAACTCCTTGAGTGATTTGCCTCAACTAGAGACCATAAGTTTCATTTATATCCATAAGATCACCTGATCATGAATCAGAAGCACTGTGGATACTGTTGCCTGGACGTAATCAGGAACAGGCTTTTCCACACAATGAAGTTCTAGATTAAACACCCTGCACTGAAACATATACCAAAGAAGTGAAATCCCAATAATTAGTGCTAATCCAAGAAGTTTAACTCACTTAATCACCCTTTCTGTTGTTTAAATCACTCACCTTCATTGTAAGGTTCACATATGCTTCTGGGAATATCCCTGCTTGTTGGCCAAACTTGTTCAAAGGATAAAGCAACATATCAACTTCCTTCATTAACTTGCAGCCTTACAGAAACACCATTTATTTGCAGCATTGCAAAGATACCTTGAATCAAAGTAAACAGAATGTAAACTTATATATATCTAAGAATGTCATCCCTACTTTTTCATAACAAGGCAGCAAAATCAAATGCAGGATATGTCTCACCTGATTTGCAGTGGCTTCAACAAGCTTCTTGTCTCTTTGTCCAGACTAAGCCTCTACATGGAAAATGAAGCTCTCCCGCCATACTGACACATTGACAAACCAACTAACACAACTAAGTAAGAATGAATAAAAAACAACGAACACACATAGCTTAATAACACCTTGTTATAGATCATAAATTCCATTGCCTCACTTAGGGAACCATCGTTGGTATTCACTTAGTCAGGGGAAGAATGACCTCAAATCTATCCACTCCAAACATTCCCAAACGGGATGGCGTGCAAGTCCCTGCACACAAGGAAAATTACTTAAATATTTGGATAACCTACTAAATCCTACAATCTAAACCAAGACTGCAACATATAGAAAGCCGATAAAACAGCAGTCGACACAAACCTGAACTGTACTCATCAGGTTGAAGTTGCTTAGTGTTGCCTTCTCAAACAACTCTCAATCAACAGATAAAGGTCGAGCTATCACAATAGAAGAAGTTACCAACTTAATGGCATCAAACAATTCCTAATACATTGTATAAAAGTTAACCCCTATGGTTCAATAAAAGGTCAGAAACTCAACTTTACAAAAAAAGATATGCTTATAACTGTAACCAAAACATGCACACAACAAAGCAATTAGGAAAAATAAAAAACTACCACTAGTGTTTATTAGATTACCAGGTAAGTCCTTCCATACAAGAATATGTAAATGGCCAGAACAGTCATCTGCCAGAAAAAAGCATATGGTATTAAAAATTTGTGAACACTTGAAATGGGATAGTGATATACAATGAGACATTAAAGACAATTTAGAATTAATACCATTGTACAAACATTAATACCAACTGATGAATTGTAGAAGGATAGCATTCTGAAGAACTCAAATAATTGTCAGAGTCTGTAGACATCCCTCCCTAATCAGTACTTGCTCTCCATTTCCACAACAACTTTGCCTTCAAACAGCACAACCTGGTTTAAACCAACATATCTTCCCTACGTAACCTACAAGGTACAGACCATAAAAAAAATGAAGATGGTGCGTTCTCTGAGGCTAAGCAAAGAAAAAGGACCAAATACTAAACATGAATGTAATCATGGTGCGTAACATCTCTCTGTCTCAATGTTGAGTTAAACCCTGCAGCATTCAGTAGCCCAGATAGTGTTAAAAGAATTCCACTAAACAACACAAAATTGAGTCTAAATCTCATTTATGCAAAAGTAGGCAAGATCTACAAAGTTCTTTCTAAAACTGGAAGTAGAATTCCAACCATATCGATCTTTGACACTCAAAAGACAACCAAATTAAGCATAGGCCATGTACAGAACTGTTGACCACTTGACAGCAATAAGAGAAACCAAACGCCATAAATTTCACGTTACTAAAGTTCATCAGAAGAGCTTGACGGACCAAGAACAATAAGATGAAGTAAACTAGAATGTTCTACAATAAGTAATGATTAGAATGAGAGAATCCCTTAAAAGTGCGGCAAGAACACAAAAACCCAAACCCTAGACAATCAAATCTCGTATTTCCCCCTATTCGATTGGGAGATCTCTAAGTCGACGAGAAACAGAACCCTAATTCTTCACAAATTAGAAATTATGAGATCGACTGACCTAGGGATAGAAAACTACCAAAAGCGAGATAAAAACTCCAAAATGAGAACTAAGAATGAGAAGAGATGAAATACCTAAGTCGGAGATTCATAGCAGCAACTTGCAGCAGAGGAGCAATCTACAGCGGGGGAATTGCAGCGACGCTGGTGGTATCACTGAAAGAGAGACCGGAGCGGCAGCGCGGGTGAAGAGCGGTCAGAATCGCGATCGTCGGAAGGAAGAAGAGGGTTTGAATTCGGGTGAATTTCAGAGAACCAGAAGAAGTGGTAAAGACGATAGACATCTTTGGGAGATAAACATCTAATGAAACTTTTTACATTTCAAATTGTAATTAAATAATTATTTGGATAAAAAAACAAAAACGACAAAAACTTGCTAAAAGACAAGCAAATAAACTGATTTTTTATTTTTATTATACCGACGGACGTTCGACGGACAGAAGTTGCCGTCCAAACCCATGCATTTAGCGCCGAGGAACGCGGCCGTCATCAAGCAAGTGTCATTAAGGGGTCGTTTGCTTGTTGGATTTGGGTCATGGATTTGGTACCTAAATCCCAAGTTTGATGGATTTAACACAAGTTCATTGTTTGTTGATGGGTATCAAATCCGTGGGGTCCACGGATTTGGTCTTTAATTTGGGACCAAATCCGTGGACCCCACGGACTTGTAAATCCCACATATTTGTTTGGGATTTGCAAATCCATGATGGTTGTTAGTTGCTTATGTGACAAATCCATCATAAATCCATTATCAATTCTATCATGCAAACACTAGACTTTTCAAATCCATAATACAATAAATCCCTCATGAATCCCAAGGTTTTTGTTGCACAAAACCTTCATTTTTCAAATCCAACAAGCAAACGACCCCTAAATCACACTTTTCTTGTAGTGCACCTTGTCTAACATGCAGATCCCACAGCGGGCAAGAAGGAATGGACTGTTTAGAAAGGAGCCGGAGATGAATTGATTGGAGTCGAACGACTCCACTGAGGCGGAGGTGAGTCCACTGTTGAAATTAATTAAAGTTTAATTGAATAAAGCTGAAAATATCTGAATTTCCTAGAGTCTACGTGAATGTGTGTGGAATTGTGTAGAAGAATAATTAATATGGTTAGTTGGTTAGTTGTGGCATAAAGAATGATAAAAAAATGAAAGCCACATATGTATGGCGGTGCAGGCAGATTTTTTGAGAGTTCAAGCCTATAAATGGGCTGTGTTGTACCGTGTATGAGTGTGTAGAAAAGAAGCAAAAAAAACAATAAAGCTTCCAAGTCCCATTCCCTCTGCAAAGTTCTTGTCCCAATTAAAAACTCCTCCTTCCATTTGTTACCAACTAAAAAGCAAGCCCCCACTGCCAAAAGTCTACCATTCCAAATAAACAAACTCACAATCCCCACTTCCTACAAACGTGCCCACCAAACCAAATATTAAGGAAATAATTTAGTTATTTCCAACAAAGTGGTATCAGAGCCCGAGTTATTCTTAAGTATGCTCTGTGGTTGCAGCGTAGTCTGAACTTCCACATCAGAAAAGAATTTCTCGTGTTTTTGTTATCACGATTTTCCCATGGCCGAAAAATCCACTTTTCCCATTCAATTCCCCCACCTTACCAAAACCAATTACAAAAATTGGTGCATTCGTATGAAAGCCTTGCTGGGATCCCAAGATGCTTGGGATATTGTTGAGAAAGGTTACGAGATTCCCGTGGAGGATTCTCGGTTATCTCCTACTGAAAAGGAGGTATTGAGAAAAAATAGAAAGAGTGATCAGAAAGCACTCACTCTCATTCATCAGTGTCTTGATGAATCGATGTTTGATCAAATAGCAGATGCTACCACGGCGAAGGAAGCATGGGAAATTCTGCAAAAGGAAATGCAAGGCGTGGAATCAGTGAAAAAGGTTCGACTTCAGACACTCAGGGGAGATTTTGAAGCAATAAAAATGAAGGAAGGTGAATCTGTTTCAGATTACACCGCCCGTGTGAAGTCAGTCGTCAGCAAACTGAAGCAGTATGGGGAGAAAATAGAAGAGACCAAAGTGGTGGAGAAAATTCTACGGTCATTATTACCGAAGTTCGATTATGTGGTGGTGGCCATGGAGGAAGCTAAGGATGTGTCAAAAATGACGGTGGATGAAGTCATCGGCTCACTGCAAGCCAGAGAGGAAAGACTAAGTAAAAGGAATGAAGAATCGTCAGAACAAGTGTTAGCCACAAAAGCTACCACTGAGGAGAAAGATGGTGCCCGAGGAGGAGGTCAGTACAGAGGTCGAGGCAGAGGCAACTACAGAGGCAGAGGAAGAGGAAGAGCCAGAGGAGCATATCAAAGCAGAGACGGAGGAAATTTCACCACGAACAATTATGAAACGTCCACCAGAGGCAGAGGTCGTGGTCGTGGACGTGGAAGAGGAAATTGGAGATCAAATGAAGGTCGTGATAAATCCAACGTTCAGTGCTATAATTGCTCGAAGTACGGGCATTATGCATCGGAATGTTGGAGTCCGACTAAAGAAGTGGAGGAGACTGCAAACAATGTGCAAGAAGAAGAAGTCAAAGGCACATTGATGCTGTCACATCAAGGAGATGAAAAGCCGAAAGACAACATGTGGTATCTGGATAATGCAGCAAGCAACCACATGTGCGGTAAAAGAAGCATGTTCGTGGATATGGATGAATCGGTGAAAGAAAATGTCGTATTTGGAGATTCCTCGAAGGTTCCTATCAAAGGCAGAGGAACTATACTCATCCGGCTCAAGAATGGCTCACAACAATTTATCAGTGATGTGTACTATGTCCCAGACATGACAAGTAACATCCTGAGTTTGGGTCAATTGATGGAGAAAAATTATGAAGTCCACATGGTGAATCGTCAACTGGAGTTGTTAAATGAGAAGAAGCAGTTGTTGGCCAGAGTCCCAATGTCGAGAAACAGAATGTTCACCCTGAACATTCAGACAGAAATGGCGAAGTGTTTGAAAGCCTGTGTGAAGGACAATACATGGCTATGGCATCTGAGGTATGGCCATCTGAATTTTGGAGGCCTAAAGTTACTCGGTCAGAAAAAGATGGTGCATGGTCTACCAGTGATCAATCATCCAGACCAGTTGTGTGAAGGATGCTTGGTTGGGAAGCAATTCAGGGCAAGTTTCCCAAAGGAGTCCCTGTCACGAGCTAAAGCACCACTTGAGCTCGTCCATGCAGATCTCTGTGGACCGATCACCCCAACATCGTTCGGGAAGAACAAATACTTCCTATTGTTCATTGACGACTACAGTAGAAAGACATGGGTATACTTCTTGAAGCAGAAGTCAGACACATTTGAAGCTTTCAAGAAGTTCAAGATGCTCGTGGAGAATGAAAGTGGCCGCTACATCAAAGCCATGAGATCAGATAGAGGTGGAGAATTTATGCTGAAGAAGTTCAGAAGGTTCTGTGAATATCAAGGAATTCGCAGGTTTCTCTCAGTCCCAAGATCCCCACAGCAAAATGGAGTTGTTGAGAGGAAGAACAGAATTGTCCTCAACATGGCGAGAAGCATGATGAAGAGCAAGAACCTGCCAAAGGAGCTATGGGCTGAAGCTGTTGATTGTGCAGTCTACCTGCTGAATAGGTCACCAACAAAGAGTGTTTGGAATCAAACACCCCAAGAAGTATGGAGCGGAAGGAAACCCACAATCTCTCACCTCCGAGTCTTCGGAAGTGTTGGATATGTGCACGTACCGGATCAAGAAAGAAAGAAGTTGGCTGACAAAAGCAAGAAGTACATATTCCTGGGATACTCAGAACACTCAAAAGGTTACAAAATGTTTGATCCCGTGGAAGAGAAGTTGATCATCAGCAGAGACGTGGTGGTTGATGAAAAGGCAACATGGGATTGGACTGTTGAAGCAAAGAAGAATTACACTTTTTATCCATTCACTATGGATGAAAGTGATGATGAACAAGATACAGCTACACCAGTGACAAGTCCACCTAGTCACAGAGAGCCTACTAGCCCAGAAGGAGAATCAAGTGAAAGTCCCCGAGAAAGGCCACAAAAGTATAGAAGACTTGAAGAAATTTATGATGAAACGACAACCATTGAAGGTGATGAATTGACACTATACTGTCATTTCATTGATAGTGAACCAGTGGATGTTGAAGAAGCCATGAAGGATGAAAAATGGAAGAAAGCCATGGATGAAGAAATTGGAGCAATTGTGAAGAACAAGACTTGGGAGCTTGTGTCGCTACCTAAGAACCAGAAGCCAATCGGTGTGAAGTGGGTATTCAAGGCCAAGAAAAATGCTAAAGGAGAAGTCGTCAGACACAAAGCAAGGTTGGTGGCAAAAGGATACAGTCAGAGACCAGGCATTGACTACAATGAAGTATTTGCTCCCGTGGCGAGAATGGAAAGTATCAGAATGGTAATATCTCTCGCTGCTCAAAATGGATGGAAGATACACCAAATGGATGTGAAGTCAGCTTTTCTGAATGGATATCTTGAGGAAGATATCTATATTGAGCAACCCCCTGGATATGTCGTTGAAGGTCAAGAAGATAAGGTGTTGAAGCTGAAAAAGGCACTGTATGGTCTGAAGCAAGCACCGAAAGCTTGGAATAGCAGGATTGACAAGTATTTTCAGCAAAATGGGTTCAGCAAATGCCCACATGAGCATGCACTATACTGCAAGGTGCAAGGGGGAGCAATATTGATGGTTTGCCTATACGTTGATGATCTCGTCTTCACAGGCAACGATCCTAAGATGTTTGAAGAGTTCAAGAAGACGATGGTTCGTGAGTTCGAGATGACAGACATTGGACTAATGTCATACTATCTCGGTATTGAAGTAACTCAAAAGGAGGAAGGAATTTTTATCTCACAGAGTGGCTTCGCAAAAGAGGTCCTGAAGAAGTTTAAGATGGAGAGCTGTAATCCTGTGAGTACACCAGCAGAGTGCGGACTTAAGTTATCCAAGGATGATAAAGGAGAGAAGGTAAACTCAACAGAGTTTAGAAGTCTCGTGGGAAGCCTGAGATATCTTACTTGTACCAGAACAGTTATTCTCTACGCAGTTGGATTGGTCAGCAGATACATGGAGGCGCCAACTATGTCACATTGGAACGCTGCCAAGAGGATACTGCGCTACATAAAAGGTACAATTGATCATGGTTTGCTTTATACTAAATCAGAAGATTTCAAATTGGTTGGATACTGCGATAGTGATTGGGCAGGAGACTTCGATGATCGCAAGAG